CGTAGGCTTGCTGGACCGTGATGGGTTAGATGAGATTTACCATGTTATTAAGTTAGTTTTGTTAGGGTTTGATCCCTAGTATCCACTATGTTCTGAGATTGATGTTGCTATGACTTTGCTATGCTTAATGCTTGTCTCTAGGGCCCGAGTGCCATGATTTCAGATCTGAACCTATTATGTTTTCATGAATATATGTGAGTTCTTGATCCTATCTTGCAAGTCTATAGTCACCTATTATGTGTTATGATCCGACAACCCCGAAGTGACAATAATCGGGATACTTCTCGGTGATGACCGTAGTTTGAGGAGTTCATGTATTCACTAAGTGCTAATGCTTTGGTCCGGTTCTCTATTAAAAGGAGGCCTTAATATCCCGCAAGCACCGACGATAGGGTGGCCCGCAAATTAGCCCATTCTACAGTCTTCACCTGTCCAAATGATTGTCGGAACAAGATGTTCCAATGGCCATTATGGGCAATGGTGGATACCAACACCATCGGATCCTAGAAGATGGCAAACAAGTTTGGAAACCCGTACATAACGGGGCTCCATCTACCCACACGTCAAGTCAGAATAAGGTGCTCTCTCCATTGATGATGGAGAAGAACAAACCTAGGATAGATCGCCTGCTTAATCCGCGCTTCTAAAACCGGGATCCCTCGTACGCGAACAAGCAAGTAGTGGCTCGCCCTATAAGTATTTAGTCTGAAGAAGCTGCAACCATAAACTTCCGTCCCGACGAATAATCCGCCAGATCCACGCAGCACAAGGGACAGGTTCATGCGTCATGACGCAAGGATACCTATCCCTATCATGTCCTTTGGCGCACAGATCAGCCCCTTTATCATATGGTATTTTTAGCGGCCATTCTGCCTGCCAGAAGAAACATGATAGGTTTTTATCAAATGATATGTGCACCAAATATGCATATACATGAGATGGCTAGAGAGGTTGGAGTCAGTAATAATGTTGTTACTCCCTTTTGATGTAAAATGACCGCACCAAGGTTATGCCCGATACATGACACACCTCGTAAGTGGGTCGAACTCGCTCAACAGAACCCTCGAGTCAGACAACGACATCCCCAAATACGCAACGGGGAAGGTAACCGCAATTCATGTTGCCTGCATTCTGTTGTTGCTCGACCTTAGAGTGTCCTACTACCACCAACTCGCTTGTCAAAGTTGATATTAAGACCAGCTTGTCAAAGTTGATATTAAGACCAGCCATGGACTCAAAACATAGAAGGAGAAATTTAAGATTGACAATGTCAAGATCGGAGCCCTCGACCATACTCATGGTATCATCCGCGTACTGAAGATGTGTTAGGCCACCCACGGATCAAGTACCCAACTGTTGGAAGGGGGAGAGGGATTTGGTGGAATAGTTGTTGTATTGCTTGAGCCTCATGGGCATATATATAGGAGTACATGATCTACTTGGAGTACAAGGCAAGCCAGACTATTTCCTAGTCTAACCTATGTTTCCTAATACAATCACGTTACACA